CCCTTAATAAACGCGATCAGATATAGAGGCGTTGTCATTGTCGCAATAATACGGCCATCGATAATCTAGACGGTTTATCCCCTTTGCGATAATCGCAGAAAATTAGCGAGATACATCGGGGGTACAAAGGGGTACGTATAGCTGAACTGCGATGGGGCGCGCGCAGGATAAAACGAGGAGGTCGTGGCCGAATTTACACTGAAAAAAATCCATGTACTTTTACATGGAAATTACTAGCTCAGGACTCGAAAAGTTTACTTGCTTATTATTGTAATTTTTTTTTCCATTTGTTTTAAAGTAAAAATACATATAAAATATAGGTAAAATTACTATTTTTATGCAAAAATCATATGTAATTTTAAATTTACTATTTTTACTTTATTAGAATTTTATTTTTTATAAGTATTTATCTATTTTATTTATAACATTATTTTACAGCATTTATACATTCCTAACATTTCCTATATGTAATTACATGTTCAGTGAAATATTTTTAATCTTGAAAATATAAGAATATATTTCATATAAAATTACATACAATTTGTAATCTTCCATGTAAGTATCAATATTGCATGATTATGCTCGGAAAAAAATCTAGCCTAATCATGCAATTTTACATAAAAATATTTTTTTTCAGTGTATAACGGAATATATGGAGCGACGACCCTCGTCGCGAGAAAGAAGCCTTAATCTCCCGTTGCCACGAGGGGGCACCGATGGGGCGCGCACGCCTCGTAGTCCCACGAGAAGTGCTCGAGGATTATGCGCGAGAACCGGGGGACCGCCGTGGGGCCCTATATCCCTCGATCCTCTCCTTCCCCTTTCTGCCCCCCTCCCCTTTTCCATTGTTGGGAATCATTTCCGACGCATAATGCCCCCCGGATGAGCCTGTAAACTTATCAGTCGGACGGTCGCGAGCCGGCATCGATGCTCGATAATATCGAGATGCTCCGTGATACACGATCTGTGGCGGAAAAGAGGTCGACCGGGTGGGGATGATATCCCGATCGCACGCCCCCGTCTGGATACGTAAATCAGGATCAGAGATCACTTTGTGCCTCTCTCTGTGGTCCTTCGCGTCCTACCCTTTTTTCTTTTGCGCGCATAAGGAACTCTCTCGCCTTTGAAAAGATTTTGATGCCATTTGCGCGCGATCACCATATCCGGGGATTTTACGTGTGGGTGATTTCGGCTCCATCCTTTATTCGCTTTTAAACGGCGAACGCTCGATATATATATATATATATATATATACGTTATCTTTCCAATGATAATCGTAAAATTACGTACGTTTAACGCGCGATAAGACACGATGCTTAAGTGTCTGGCGATACAATGTCCCGACATACTCATGTAAGCCGCATTATATTCCTCGCGTGACGTTCTCATATATATATTGTGTATATAGCGTCCTATAAACTCTGATTGTATATGCGTCGATATTGCGCGAGAAAAGCAAACTCGCACACGAAATTCTCTACATTTGTATTTTTTCACTTCGTCCCAGTGGGAAATATTTCATTATATCGCTAATGAACATCGCATGCGAGGATTGAGCCCTTCCCGTTTTCAATGAAAATAATGAGGAAGTGAGCAGGAGCGCGGTTTCATATCGAGAACGATATTATAAATCATCGTCTTAACCGCTGTTAAGGACTTAACCAGTGTCACGTGCATGCCATTCGCACACAAATTGCGTTAATCCCCTATGGGAAGAACGGATCTTCCTCGCATGTGGGAAAACCATAGCGACGCGTTCGCGTTATTCCCATAAACAGATTTTTTCCAGCTGTCGAATAAAGCACCGCTTCTCGTATTCCTCCATAGAATCGCTAACTTCATTTTAAATATATATAACTCAATGTTATTCGTAAAATATTAACTCTCACACTTCTTATACATATGTATACCTTAATAAATAATTGTTCGTTTTAAATCTGAAAATAAAATTTTGCCAAAAGTGGTTTGTATTGTACGAGGGTTACTATTTATATTTCGGGAATAAGAACGAAAACAAATAGTTAAGCTGCGAATATATTTTTATTGTTTTTCAAAGTACTCGCCACGATGATCGATACACTTTTGCATACGCTTAAACCAATTTTCAAAGCATTTATTCCATTCCGAATAAGGTATCTTCAAAACATGATTTTTGAACGTTTTAATAGCTTCTTCGGACGATGAAAATAGTTGACCACGCAGTTTATTCTTCACGGATGAGAACAAAAAAAATCATTGGGTGCCAAATCAGGGATGTACGGCGGATGACCCATCAATTTGATGTTTTGAGTGCTTGTTTGAGCCGATGTGTGAGAGCTCGCATTGTCATGATAAAGAACAATCCGGCGCGCAATCTCTTGTTTTCCTTATTTCACCGAAGACTTCTGGCAAACAGATGGTTGTGTACCACTAGAATTTACTGTTCTACGATCCTCTAGAGGCACTGTTGCAATATGACCAGTTTTTCCGAAGAAACAAGCCACCATTTTCTTTGAAGTGCTTCGTGCGCGAACAACTTTTGTTGGATTTGGTTCATCTTGGAACACCTATACAGTTGACTGCTGCTTACTTTCGGACTCATACGAATATATCCATGATTCGTCACCTGTCACGATTTTATAAACGTCTTTTGAAGCACCGCGATTGTATTTCTTAAGCATTTCTTTGCACCAATCGACACGAGCCTTTTTTTCAGCGATTGTCAAATTATGTGGGATCCAACGCAAACATAACTTTCGCACAACTAAGTGTTCATGTAAAATCGCATATATGCTGGTGGAACTAATGCTTAGAGATGCCTCAATCTCTCAATAAGTTACATGACGATCTTGCTTAATCATTTCGTGCACAGCATCGATGTTTTCTGGCACTACAGTCGATTTTGGACGATCTTCACGAAACTCGTCGGACAGCGAACTACGATCACGATTGAATTCACTATACCAGCGATACATAGTGGTTTTTGATGGAGCTTCATCGCCAAAAGTCAAATTAAGTTGATTGATGCACTCTTGTTGTGATAATCCACGTGGAAAGTCGTAAAAAATCATCGCACAAAAATATTCTCGATTCACTTCCATCTTTTGCCGAGACGAAACTTTCAACTAAATATAAAATAAACAAATAGCGTCCGTATGACAAAATGTTCTGAGTACATATAACTTTACGATGGAACCATCAGATGAATTCACATGACATCAGTGTTGGCAGTTTCCGAAATATAAATAGTAACCCTCGTATAAAGAGTCCCAGTTCATATAATATAAATTATAAATTCGGGCCACAACGTTTTAGTCGTACGGTCGGTTTAGGCTCTCAGGTTTAAATGCACAAATGCAGACTAGATCTAGGTCGAATCCCCCCGATCCTTTTGGCATAATCAGAGTACAGCCCCCGGCACATAAAGCTCTTTTTATTTCGCGGTTGCTTCTTAAATTATAATTTACGTATGCGCATAAAAACCGCGGTTAAGTACTAATCTAATTCAATATTCAGTCCAGTCCAGTTATTTTGCGTTGTAACCGAAACAAATTTTTTTCATTTATAAAAATAAATCTTTCTGCTTATTTAAAAAAATAATTTCGCTCTTATTTCTCTTTGTCTAGCTTGTATTAAATGTTTCCGAAATTAATTATTGACAAAAGTAAGAGTTTTAAAGCCAAAGATCTTGCGAAATACACATGAGAAGCTTATGTAACGGAACTTTGGCTTATAAGGCACGATGTTATAGAACCGGTTTTTTTTTTTTTTATTTTCTCGAACAAAAATCATATTTCGCATTCGATATGTCATTCTCTCGCAAGAGAGAACCGCCCCGAAATACGAAACTTCCGCGGCACGACGTATGCGACTCTTCCTGTCTTTTATCGCAAGTAGAAAACGTGCCAGGACGTACGTGAAATTCATTTTCTTTCAAATTTTTTTTTTCAAACAATTACAAAATTACTAAATACAGTTTTTGATCTTATGATTTTTCATATATATTTTTGACCTTATTTTTAATCGCGTTACATATTATAAAATAATTAAACGTTTTTATATAGTTTCGCACGGTACCATGCACAATGCACATACGCGCTTTCTCATGATGAATTCTATCACGTACACCGAAGATTAAAGCAGCCGGTTCGGATAGGGCAGAAAAATGCAAATTGCGAAACGCATTTAGTCGACATGAATATCTCGCGCGAGGATCTACCTTATCTTTGATCAGCAGAAAATCACAATGTCTCTGCATAAATAATTTTTTTTTATTAAATAACGTAGAGAGACTTTCACACGTACCCCGAACACAAATATTAGACGACAGTTTATCGCTGGCTGATTACAAAGGGATGAAATACGCGATACTTCGGACATAAGTGGAATATACCGGATGTGGACAGACGCTAAATAGATATGAACAGTACAAACACGATACAGTAATATTATTTCGCTCCACGCGTACATATATCCGAATGACGCGCGTACACTTGGCAATAAAGACCAAAGTACATAATAACATAGCCCTCTTTAATCGTATATCGAGCGCCGTTCAATTACGCATTAGATTACCAGGGATCACTTTGTCTTTCGTATATTCGGTCTTCCGCCGCCGTATACCATAAATGAGACTATATATATGAGAGAGAAGCGGTAATTGCGTGCAAGGTACGCACGCACATTTATCGGTAGACCCACACACGTAGAGCAACGTACAACCGGCACACGCGCTCTTTCTCCCTCGGCATATGGCGCGTTCGGTCCCCCTTTTTCAGTTCCGGGGGAGAAGAAACGTGGGGCTGCGGCGCGTGCTGAAAATCCCCACCATTCTCTCTTTCTCTCTCGTCCGCCTTTCTTTTCTCCTCTCTTTCGTGGATTCTATGGCCCGCGTTTCGCTCCCTCTCGTGCACAGGCGCCCTTCCTTCTCCCTTTTTGCTCCAACCCCGCGCGATCCAACTCGGCGCGGTGCTAGCGACGAGATGCTAACCCATCTATCGATGTCCGCGCTCATTCTCGAGGCGGACGCCATGTAGTGCATAGGACGGAAGTATGATCATCGAACAGAGGTGCTGATGATACGCGATTGTGAGCGTATATAAGTCCTCCCCAAGTCTTCGAATTTTTCTGTGCTTGGAAATTACATGATTCGATTGCGAATTGTTGTAAGTGTGAATTGTCGTTGATTGAGGAGGAAGTGAAGCAAAGTGAGGAGTGAAAATCTTCAGTCGAACTGAGTGCGTTTTTTTTTGTTTTTTTTTTTTCGACCAGTTTTCATGGAATTCTTCTTTCTTTCACGAATATTTCATGAATATTTGAAACGTCTTCTTAGAGAAGAAATGTAGGAAACGTTAATTGTGTGTCTTGTGTGTATAATATTGACAATTATTTGATATATAGGACATGTTAAGTCTGATAACCTTGATCATCGATATTAAAGCCGAGTCAATTGCGGTTATCATTCCGTCTGAAAGGAGAACATTGAATCAATATTAATCACTAATTGATCAAAGGTTCACGATGTGTTCAACATAAACGATTTGAGAGTGGCTGACACAGCGATTGTTGTTAATAAACTCGAGTTTGCAATCGCAATCTCAATATTTCCGTTGATCGTACGCAACATGCATTACGTAGATCAACGTTTCGATCAAAAGTGCATCAATCGATAGCAATAAAATATCGATGAAAAATATAATTATGAATGAACGATAAATACGGATGATGTATTGAAACCCAAGTGCCTTCAAGTGAGATTTCTCTCGCTTTATAACAATGTTACTATTTTATATATAAAGACGTCGAATGTGGGTTGCTGGAGAACTTCATCTTCATGGCAAACATTATACAACATTATTTTCATCAGCAGGCACATCTTAATCTTCGGTGAGTATTTAATAAATTGTAGAAAGACATATTATTTTAAAAATATAATTTTTTTTATTCATCATTTTCTTCATTGTAATTAGATTTTTTAATTAAACTTTCAATTAAGGCACGATAGTCGTAAGTAGGTACAACGAGAAAATCTACCCCCTATTATAATTCAAAATTTAAAAATTATTATATTTTAATAATTCGGTGAAATCAATCTCGAGAATAAACATGTACGGAATCGGATTCGGTATTTGATACTATCTTATGGATAGAAGAGGCGTTCTCCTTTTATTAAAAGTAAAGCTGATAGTTTATAAAAAAAAAAAAGCTAGATTTGTTTTGGAAGAATTGTATAATAGTTTCCGAGGAGTCGACGACCGTCGCGGAGAAGAATAGACGGTGACCTCATGCTTTACTTAAGCCATGGCGACCGGCAGCGAGACAATTAGATCTCGGTTTCAGTCATCAGCATCGTAGGTTAGTAAAGAGAGAAACTATAGCTCTATTACAGAGAGACATATCTGTATGCAAAGACCTGTAGCAAAATATATTTGTACATTCCTATCTCGAACCTAACAATTAGTCAATTGTTGGTTTTAGGAAAAAAAAAACAAGTTTTTATAATAAAATAATTGTAAAATGGAAACTATATACACATACTATTAGATATGTAATATTTATTTTAAATAAATTTGAAGACTATTATTAATCATAGTTTGAAAGTGTTAATCGCGTTGACTCTTTGCAAGAAAGATTTAGAAGTAATTTTTGCAAACGACAGGTTTGACCCAGATTCGAATTGATACCCAATCGAGGCGCCTTGCAACGGTTTGCGTTCGATAATCGTCTTTGTCTCCGACAAGAGAATACGTTTTATTTATAAGTCCGGCAATTAGGCTCGTCCTCGACAAGCATTAGTGTCGTTTATCGACCGGTCGACGCCGCTGTCTTAACGCAACTCATTTAATCAACGTTATTGTGGAAACGGCACAATAATATACAAAACGTGATACAATTTACGAAGTCTATTTACCGACATATTCTAACTAGATATGCTGAATTACCGATTATATTCGTATTTTATTACAATAATTATTTGGCCCTTTATTTTTGCGATCCCATAAATTTAATTATAAAAATTCATCAATAATTTATGCGATTAATTACCTGCAATTATTGAAAATTGTTTGGAGTACCGAGAACCTTATGGAAAAAATACCTTTTTCAGTTTGGAGCAAAATTGCGCGGCGTTTCGATGATAGTTTACGCGCTTCAAGAGTGATCCCACAAGTAAAGGAACTGTGTGTGATTAAAGAACACTCGCTGAAACGAGCACAATGGCGACCATGGGGGTGACCGTGTTTTGCAATAGAGTACAAATAAACGGCAACGATCAGGAGCAATTGATGTTGCTGCGGACGCTGCAGGATAACGAGAACAACATCATCGGCAACCAATCGACGCTGATAGTCCCGAAAAACAACGGCGGGAGTAACGCGACAAGTTCCGCGAGCGTGTTACCCCCGTACGACCCTTCTCGTTTGAAGAAACACGGGAAAAACGGGCAGCCACCGCCCGTCGCGGTTGCCCGAAGAAACGCCAGAGAGAGGAATCGCGTGAAACAAGTAAACAATGGATTCGCGACGTTGAGGCAGCACATTCCGAGCCACATCGCCGCGGGTTATGGAGACCGGGGTAAGAAGCTATCCAAGGTGGAGACCCTCAGGATGGCCGTCGAATACATCAGAGGCCTTCAGAGGCTCCTGGCTGAAGCCGACGGCGTCGAATACGATTCCAAGATCGCTACCGGTGCACAATGCGTTCCTTCTCCAACCAGCAGCGTCATCTCCTCGAGTCACAACGGTTCCGGCGAGAGGCTCGTTCTGGAGGATGACGTATTGCCCGCGGAAGACGACGAGGCGGAGCAATTGGATGAGGAAGAGGACGGAAGTAATGTCAAGTCGAAAATTACGTTGTCTAGGTAAATTATCAAATCTGGATATTGAATTGTAGCAATAATTGAAAAGAGGCAGAATTTTTGTCTTTATTATCTCTTCCCAATTATCGCTCTATCAATCATTCTGAGGATGGTATGATACCCAGCAAACAAAGTATACAAATGTTATATACTCAAGCATGTTACATGTAACGTATATGTTAGTTGTAATTTCCCACTTAAAGATGTAACATTTTTAATATTACATATATTACATTGTAGTTATATTGTCATTGTATCCCAAGATAGCACTGACTTATCAATACATCAATGTGCTATTTGGTATATAATTACAATATAACTACAATGTAATATATGTTATATTAAAATGTTACATCTATGAGTGGGAAATTACAACTAACATGGATGTTACATGTAACGTGCACGTTATATTACCTGTTATATTCCGTTTTATTATAGCAATGTAACAATTATATATCGGTGTTTGCTGGGATTGATACTCTTGAACGCAAGAACAAGGAACAATTTGTCAGTCGTATTGTAACTTGGTATTTTCTCTTTACACAGATTATCTCCTAATCGAAATACCATCTCGTCCCCACGTGACTATTACGCATCCTCGGCAGGCGACGAGGAAAATCTGGAGCCCCGAACCGCGAGCGGTGGACAGAATTTTTCCAGACTATCGCCAAATTCCGTAGCCTCGCCGCCGTCCGAATATTACGCTCAAAACGAAGAGAACCTCGAGCCGCAAATTCTTTCACCGTACAGCGGCGCCGGGGACAGCGAGGAGGGTGCGACGACTGTATACGCGACCAGTCCGGAGACCTTCTCCGGGGCCCTTTACTATAAGCAGGAGATCACCGAGACGGGAGAATTCATGGACGTCGTCAGCTGGTGGGAACAGGAACAGGGTAGACTCGTTCATCAACAGCACACGCAACGGCTGACGCACGTGTAACCGTAGGTGAGTTCCCGACGAGTTTTCGACCTGTATTCAAAGGGAGACGTCACGTCTGATAATCTCGGCGATAAATTATAGAAATTTGCGTAAGCAAACGCAATAAGCATTAAATGAATAAAAGTAAACAAATAAAAATTAAATTAGTTAATTAAATAAAAATACGTAAATAGAAATAAGCATTAATTTATAAATTAATACAAATTGTCGCTCGTATATTGAAAACAAAGTGATAAATCTAAGGCCAACTTATCGAGCTGAATATTCGAGATGTTCAGTCAACTACCATTTATTACATGTATAAATTATAAAACTACAGTCATTAGATATTAAAACTAACGCAAATTAAAATCATTCTATAAACGTTTCGACCGCACGCGGTCTTCTTCAGTATAATTCTTGAAATATAAATTCATACAACTTCACATAATATCGGAATTTAATTATAATTATTCAGAATCGAGCATTAATTTATTTCAACGAACTTTCATGATTTACATACGGGTTTTTATTTTGTTTTATTAATAGAAAATCATATTGCTGAAATAGAATATCCACAATTAATTGTTGATCGCCAGTGATAAATTTTTAACAAATAATAAGATTTAATTCGACCAAAAACTGGCTATTTATTTATTAAAAATAAGTACACACTACGTTTCGACCCACATTGTGGTCCTTTTCAAGTGTTGTTCTTATTCAGCAATTACATTAATTAAAAATAGAAAATTTTTAATTAATGTAATTGCTGAATAAGAACAACACTTGAAAAGGACCACAATGTGGGTCGAAACGTAGTGTGTGCTTATTTTTAATAAATGAATAGCCAGTTTTGGTCGAATTTTAAATTGCATCTTATTATTTGTTAGAAATAGAATATATTTGTGTCATCACGTGCTAAATAGAGTAAGTGTAATATGCGATGATGAACCGGTAGGCGAAAGTTTACTTGCGACTTGAGAAAACGACGAACGAGGTAAGGGTGGAAGTGTCTGTTCCTGCGGGCGTCGCGAGTCGCGTTTCTGATGCATCCAGGATGCACACGTGATACCCGCGTCGCGGAAGCGTCGCCAAGTGGAAACTCGTGTTCGACGCTTCGCCCTGAACACGTGCTACGTCGGTGTCGGGCCCGAAAATAAACTTTACGCACCGAAACCACTTGCGAAGTACGTGCCGACGTGACACTTGGATGTCACGGTCTCCTCTCTTCTATGCTTTTCTATCACAAAAACCCTCTCGTTCAAAGAAACCCTTATCTGCACGGAGAGAGTATCTTTCTGATAAGAGAAACTCGCACGCGCGCACTTAATAGTACTCGATTTTAATAATACTTTACCCTAAAAATGTGTTTTTCTTCCTCTGTAATTTGTCATCTTTATGCACACATGATATCTTTATTTATTATTCTTATCATTATGTAATGACAGAAAAGAAAAGTTTTTAATAAGTTATTTTTGAAATAATAAAATAATGATTTGACACATAATTAACTTTTGTAACCGCGTAACTACAATTTTTAATTTTGTTCAATTACATTTGTGCATCGAAGATCGGAGAAATCTTACAAGTCCATAGTATGCAATTTGGATGACACATGGCCGGTGGTGGATCATGGCGTGTCATCTTAAAAGCGTGCAACCACGAACGGAAGTGGCGGAACGTCTAGCCATATGTTGGATATTCTCCTTGAAATATCTCGCAACCAGACCTTCCTCAATCTTCTTGGTTTCCAATTGCTGGTCATCAATTCCCATGGATATCTGACACATGTTCGTTTCACGACCGAGTTACTTCTTTTAAATCCACTTGAGGAAATACTCTAAATACAAAATTGATATCCGTACACGAATATATAGAATTACTTATATATTCCTTTCGATATGTCTGGAAAATCTGCTAAAATTATAACAATTAAAAATTAAGCGGAATATTATAAGAAAGTTGAAATTTGCATATACACATTTTAATTTATTATATAATATTTCTTCTTATTTTTTAACGTTAAACATTTTTTTTCTTAATATTTTCGAGAGTCTCTGTCTGAAACAAATTTTAGATCGGTACGTTTCCTAGAATGGAAAAAGTGCATATATTAGCCGTTGTATAACCGATGCATTCGATCGTGGGGTGCGCGATTGCGACGGGAAAAAAATCAGCTGGCGGGCGGTGCCAGTCGCTGTGCCACAAATAGAAGTCGCGGTTTCCTTAGAAACGTGCGTAGCGCCCACGTGCAGGCCGACGAGAGTAGTGTTGTGTTGGATGCACATACGTCAAGCGAGACCAGAAGCTGCATTACCGCCGCGTTGCTGACATATGCGTGGCATGACGATTTAAAAAAGCCAAGTCACAGAGCCATAGAACGTGGAATTTTTGCTCTCAAAGTTATTATATTCATCTTTATTCTTAGAATTTTATGACGAATCGGTGAATATTAAGTTAATCAATAAACCAAATTCATGAATTTTCAATATTTCAATATTTCGAAGAGTATTCTAATTTTACATTCAGTATCTTAAATATTTCTCCACAAAATTTAATAAATTTACAATATTAATTAGTAAAAAATGGTAATGATATAATCGACCAACTCTGGCAAATAAGTAATTTTATTGAATTTCACAACGTTTCGGCCCTTATCAAATGCTGTAATATAATATTAACAATTATCGGTAAAGAAAAATAAAAATAATAAAATATATAGAAACTTTCACACGTTAATACGCAAACATACCTATGTTCAAAAAAGTTGTGATTTACTTTGTTTTAAGAACATAGATATGTTTGCGTATTAACGTGTGAAAGTTCTTTATATATTTTATTATTTTTATTTTTCTTTACCCATAATTGTTAATGTTATATTACAGCACTTGATAAGGGCCGAAACGTTGTGAAATTCAACAAAATTATTTATTTGCCAGTGTTGATCGATTAAATCATTACCATTTTTAATTATCGTCCGGTGACTTTATAGTTTTATATCGTTAATATTAATTAGTATTAGTATTTATTTATTTTTATTTACAATATTAATTTATATTAATAAATCAATTTAGAATATTTAATATTTTATTAATTTGATAACAAATATTATATATATATATATATATATATATATATATATATATATATATATTAGCCAAGCGAGCCAATTATTGCGAAAATTAAGAAACTTAGGAATTCGTATCTTGTGGTTGAGATCTCAAAATTCCCCTTGTTCCTGATAACATCGCGTTGGCTCGCTTGGCCGATATATTTATTTAATAAATTTAAAAGATTTTATTCATAAAATCTACAAACAGATCCCTCTTCCAGTGAACCTCTCGCATTTTTTTTGCATTTTTGGTAAAATATTATTATAGAAATATATCATCACGGGGACAACGCAGGGAGCAAAGGCGCTGGAATGAGTAGCCAGCAAGTAATTCCCGACAATTATAAAGTGAGGTCATCTACGAAGTTTACGAGATGCGTCGTCGCGTCAAATTAATTTAATCAATTCCTTGCTTGTGGCTCCCGGTCACGTACTATATCGGTATGCGCGGCCGCTGTGCCGGTTTTCTTCCTCTCTTCGCATTTAGTTCGTTTCTCGGCACGAGAGGCCTCAACCCCGTGTTAATTCGTAAGGAGAGGACCCGGTTTCTCCCAACCTTCCTCCCGTCCGAGAGCCGCGGGCAGTCCAATTAAATCCCTTTTTTGAATAACGTATTATACCGATACGGCTAATCGCCCTATGCGAATTAAGCGCGAAATTATCCACGGTAATCAAAATAATTAATCAAAGTAGCATATCGTCGCGCCGACGGAGTTTCTCCGGTAGAAACTTAAGACAGGAGGTCGGAAAGTCATGAGTTAAAAGTTCTGGTAAATAACGATCGCGTCTCGCTTTAATAATTGAAACGTATTATAGAGATTAAATGTGGTATGAGGCACGGCCGTATTGCAGCCGCGTAATGGCGAGAATTTTTCTTGAAACTCTTTCGATGACAAGAGTCCATAAATTCGGTTTATTAAAAAAATGAAAATAGAAAAAGGGGTATAGAGAGCACTTTCTTTCTATACTGTTAGCTGAATTCTTTGCAGAGCGAATGACGAGAAAGCTTGGTGATTTATCTTGAAAGTAGGATTCTTTATGTAAACTAACATTTCGCAATATATGAAACAAATTTGTCTTTCTTTATTAACATGATAATTTATTTTAATGATAGTTAATATTTTTAACAGAAATTAACTATTGTTCGGTAGGAATTAACGTTTGCATGTTTTCCAAAAAGAAATATTTTATAAAACAAAAACAAATATCAGGTCGTAAATTAGCACGAATTACGTCGTGAAACAAAAATGCGATGTTAATCATTTTCCGCCTTCGACTCGTTTCATGGACATTTAGTGCGCGAAACAAAGAATCCAACGAACAATTATGCTGGTGGAACCCGCATGTTGGTTATCTTATCAATAAACATTACCAGCATGGTAATGCGACTGCTTTAAAACGATAGCAACCGTTTCGAGTCGATTTTATAATACTACTAAATATTAAATTTTTTAACCTGCTTTTATGACATAATTGTGAAATTACATCTCTCTCTCTCTCATATATTTATATACATATATGCAAGTTTTTAATAAAAAAAATTGAATTGCATTCTATAACACGTATAGTATATACACGTGCTGCTTTTTTATCATAACGCGTAAGATAAGAAAATACAAGTTTGAAGATTTCCAGACAACAAACACGTCTTCTGAAGATACTTCATGTCGGTTCCTAGTATCTTAAAAGTACGGGCGTGGCAGATCCTTCAATTTATCTCTCACCACTTACATATACCACACACGTTTTTCCCAAGCTCCTTTTATCGGCGTCTTTGCGGCTACGTGGAAAAAAAAGATGACATTTTTTTATCGATCTCTTTATGATTGCCGACTTCAAACTAAATACTTAATAATAACTTGCATATTTATTACACTACATTGTAGTTTTTCTCAAAATTTATGTATAATCAAAAAATTTTATTGATCATAATATTTATTTTCCTATATCAATAATAAGAATATGTTTAAGAAAATATAAATTTGCAAACAAACATTTTATTACTATTTTGCAGACATTTATATATACAATTTTGACATACAAATTATTTTTATATTATTCTTTTCTCTATAATATCCCATACAGCACCGATAGATTGCAAAAACTTTACAACAATCTTTCACCGCAATATTGCAATATTGCAAATTCACTGCAAAATATTGCTACATCATTGCTGTTGAATTGCAGCAATGTTAAAATGTCCGCTTTTTGGAAGATTGCAACAAAATATTACAACAATATTGCAATATGTTATGAGTTTGCAATAATGCATTGTTATTGCAACCATAAACTAATGTTGCATATACAGGTATATAAATGTAAATAAATCATTAATGAAAATACGTTGTAGTTAATTTATATATATTACAATATATAAATTATAGAATTTGGATTACATGCAATATTTCCGAAATATTAATGTCATGTTGCTACAAGTGTGCTGGAATTTTGTGCACTTATATCTCTGCAATGTCTTTATAATGTTGCATTGCAACTTGCAACATTGCAACGTTGCTGCAATATAATTGCAATAATCTGTGCTGTATGGGATATTTGGAACTGTACTACCCAAATTATACATTATTATTATTAATTAATTAATTTTGTATTTGTATTACATATTATATACTTTTTACTTTAAAGTTTCCTAATCTAAGTATTATTCCTAATGTAAGTATTATGAAAAGCACAGGGCATTCTTTGACATCTTTTTTCACATCGAAACTATCGTGTCCCCTTCTTTTTCCCGTTGCTTCGTTCCATGAAGAAAGATGAGGATTTGCCACATTATTTGTACGTACGTTTTTTTCCCACGATATATCCGGAATCTACCGGGATGTCCGCGATGATTCGTTTCCGAATTTAGGGCTTCCCTACAATTCAGGTAAACGAGGATCCACGTGATCCAGAATACAATAGGGGACAGGACAAAAGAGATTTCTCGAGAATACACACGGGATCCTTCTTCCTCTCCTTACTTTCAGAATCACGAAATTGTGATGGAAAATGTTTTCTTTCGATATAAATCTTCGACGAGGGTTCATTGAACTGTTTCGGAGTAGTAACTATTGTCGCAAGAGATTCTTTTCGCAGAATATCACGATAAAAAATAATCGTTAGAGTAAAAAAGAGATACATAATGTTTTTTACTTTTGTACTTCATAGAAATAGAAATAAGTGTGCAATCAAGTTTGCACACTTGCTGTATTTTATAACATTAAATGTTTATAGTATACTTTTTTAGAAAATCGATTATAAATATAAAATTTATATAAATATAAACTAATAAAAACACAAATATAAAAATGTTTAAAGATTTTAAATTTAACTCTATATTAATTAATTCATTAATAAAATTTAATAAAAAATTTTTTCTATAAAATTTAATTCACTTTTTATCTATTTTAAACCTTTCTTCACCAAAATTAAAAAATGGTTTATAAATAATTAAAAATATATAATTTATAAATCATATTGCACTAAAAAAAAAAAAATATATATATATATATAAATATTAAATTTTTCATAAAAAATATTATATCTATAATTAACCCAATTAACAACATATATAAAGTTAACAATTTAATTCTTAATTTTATATGTATGTAATAGAATAATCAAAAAAAAATATTCAATTTAATAATGATCCATAAATACACATAATATTAAGTAATTATCTAATTATTTTCCGAAAATTAATTTTTACAGTTTATTTCTGCTGATCGTTGCCCATTATTCTATATATATATATATATATATATATATATATATATATATATATATATAAAGTACCCTCCTATATTTATATGTATAACAATTTAATATTGTATAATACACAAAATATATTAATATCTTTTGTGATTTTTCTCAGTTACAGATTTCAATTAGGAAAGGTCAATACTTGCAACAATTCGAGGTCCATTATACGTCATAATATACCTCATTGAAATTTCGCATGATCTCACTGGACGAAGATCCACTCTCAAAGATATACGACGTCCAAATATAAGCGCGAGTGATTTTGATTGTGATCAATAGCAAAAGTCGGAAAATTGTACTTATCGTTATAATTCAGACTTACTCATCATTCCGTCTTTCGGATCATTATTGAAACATGTATGTTGTATATTTTTCTACTATTTATATAGAAATTTAATATGTTTATTTAAAAGAAATTGAATTTTAATATTATACATCATATTATATTTCATCTCGTGTCTCTACGAAAAAGATTATTTGTATTGCATTATATCTTAAAACTTTCTATATATTTCTATATACTAATTTTGCATAAAAAATTGAAATAATAGTGCCTATACATACTCTCAGCTATATTAATTAATAATTTTGTAAGAGCAAGATAGAGAGAAATATTTATTTATATAATAATTCTCTTTAGCAATATGCTATTTCGCGCTTCCAAAAAGAAAATACGTATTTTTCGGCTATTTATATTGCAACAAGTATAATTAGATTTTAGTTGCATCATAAATTTCATTATATATAAAACCGCTTATCGCAAATCATCAATAAAATTAAGATATGCATAATACACGTGTGAAATGAATAATTTTCGTTGTACTAATGACATCGATTGTTGGTATACGACTTATTAAATTTTTACCATGTTTACATGGTTTATATGTTTGGAGAGTAAAATGTAACATTTTTATTTAAAGACAATGTTTGTAAAATATTTATTATGCGCATATTTATTTTTTATTGCACAATTAAAATATATATTTAAAATAATACAAAAACCACAATATATAGGATACATCAAAAAGCGAGATCAAACAACGAGAAAATTTATGAAAGATGCTAGCACAATGTATAGATTGTATAATGCATATAAACATTTTTTTCTCTGCCATAATTATAATCGTCATAAATATTTTGTAGTAATGGCCTTTTTTCTTTAAGGATATCGATCATATTTTTTTTATTTATATATAAAGTTTACTATAAAATATTTATATCCACGCAATATATCTTTTAATTTACAATGCAGAAAATTTTCTTACTGCCTATACAATTTCTTTTGCAAATTTTCTTACTTTTGACCCTTATTAAGTTTGGACTTTTGATGCACTCTATATATAGGAACGACCTGTGAATCGACTTTAACAATGCGAGACACAATCAAAATAATTGTATATAAAGGTGCCTTAATTAATTGTAAGAGATAAATCGTATTAATATTTATATTTTATATTCGACTTTTTGACAAAGTATTTAAAATATAAATAAGTGAATTACTCTATATATTATAAGCAAAAAAACGTGCTATCTGTTTGCGATATTATGATCTAATTATCTAATAATAAAAGCAGTCAGTCAAAAGTACATGATTATATGTATATGTTACGGCAATTAAATAACTATTAAATATTTTTAATATTGCATATTTTTATAAGGTGTATACGTATTTAAGAGCGTGCTAAGAAAATATGTATGCTCACGTGCCTTATTCTGTCATTGCGATCAAGTCTTCAATTTATTCTAAATCATTATCATATATATATATCAAGAGATAGAATGCCGCTTCCATCACACACAAAATCCATCATGCACACACACACACACACACACACATATATATATTATGTAAGAATATATTAATATTATTTATAAAAAGCGCTTAATGAAATGAAGAAATTGTTATAAATGTACCTTAACTTATGCGATTATATTCATTATAATGCATGCTTTTCTCACGATATAATATAAATAAATTATACAAACAATTTCTCTTATAATATATATACCAATATATAGATTCTTGAGAGCAATGCGTCGATTATAATGAATATTATCTCCTTGTTGTAAATTTCATATCACAAGTGCGTTACAAAATACTCGATCGTTTTTTCGTCTCGAGTTGAATCGAATTATTATAGGAATGTCGAAAACTTTATTTTAAGATTAATAAGGACTTGCTATAAATTATGAGCAAACGTAAACCATTATTTTTTTGCCATCAATACACTATATTGATGTTTTTTGTAAATATCAGTGCCTTGATTCAACTTAAAATAAGTATTCTACAATCTCTTGTGTATTTGATATATCTTTTTACATTTAGAAAATATATATTACTAAGTATGCACATTGCACTTTTAATGATTTACACAGCAACCTATATCACAAATATGTGTATTATCTAAGCTTGAATATAATTTATCATACTTTAATAATTTTTAAATGTACCAATAAAATATATTACATGTGTTTATGTGCACAATAACTAAACAATTAATACTTAAATTTTATTATTTAATATTATTTTGTGTTTTGATAATTTTTTTTAAAATCGTAAAACTTAAAAATATTTAAAATATTCTATTTTATTTTCACATATTTATCAAACTGAAAAAATTATTGAAAATAAAATTGACGTTAATTTAATTGAAAACAAAATCGCAACAATAATGATAACGAATAAAGAATTTCGTAAAAGTTTACGAGGAGTAAATCTACTTTTTCTTTCCTTTGTTTTTATTTTGTTTCCTTTTGGAATTATTGTGGAAAGTTTGATTTTTGAGCACGGAAAATGCCAAAATGCCTGCAACTATCATTATACACTATATGCGTTTGCATGTCTACCATTCAATATCATTTTACCGCGTGAGAATTTAATCGTATTTGTATAATTACTAGACAAGGTGCATTTTGAATTCTAATGATAAATTAATACGCATTGATGTCGGAAAAGCATAAATATTCATATCCTAAAACATTTTGCAATAACAATGACTATGCATTATACAAAAGTTTATATTTAATATAAGAAATAATTATTATCCAATAGAAATAGAAGATTGCAAAAAAAGATTTAAATTTAATAGTTTAGTATATATATATATATATATATATATATATATATATATATATATAATATATACACTTTAAAAAAGATTTTAGTATATTTATATTATGTATTTTATTTATTAAAATTTATTAAATTATTAGAGAATGAATAAAATGATATATCTCAAAGATATTACAAGTATTAAAAAATTTTAAAAGACAAAAAACGTATATACAAAAATATTATAATTTGAATTAAATAAATTATGTGTGTGTGTGTGTGTGTGTAGACGCACAATTGATATCTGATGTTGTGAGAACATTATTAATAACTATTTTTGAATAAATTTAAATCAATTTAAATCAAATATCTTTATAAATATTTATTACAAAATAAAAAGAAAGACATATGTACAAATAATTATTTAAGAAACAATACTTTGATTTCATCAAAATTGCAACATATATTATAAAATAAAAAAAAAATATTTTTATCGGCTCTTAATATTAAGAATACAAATATAATGTTTTTTAAATCGGCCGACAGAGCCAAAGCACGAAAAATTAATTATTCGGAACTGTATCTTTTGGTTTGAGATCACTAAGTTCCATATATAAATTAATCTCGAAACTTATTTACTAACATCTACTAAAAGGCAAATGAAAAATATAGGATCAAAAGGGTCTGAATAGCTTAGTTGGTCAAAGCAGTCGCCCGGAAAGTGAAAGATGCGGGTTCGATTCCCGACTTTTTGGACCTATATTTTTCGCACCTATTTCTCCATATGTAAGTTTCGAGATTAATTTATATATGGAACTTAGTGATCTTAAACCAAGAGCTACAGTTCCGAATAATTAATTTTTCGTACTTTGGCTCTGTTGGCCGATTTAAAAAACATCATATATTATAAAATTGTTTCATTCCATTTGCTATGCTTGATACAAATGAGCACTTGTCATAAATAAGGTCATTGTATAATTAAAGAGTGAATTAGTGAATATTTTTCGTATTTCCTGACAATTGGCTTATAAAGAATCGATCGAGTTTCGCAAGCAGCTTAAAAGTTAGAACACTCTTTTTTAGACTTGTGAGTTTATTCTTGTTTCGATTTGTGAGTATTTTTGATGTTTTTATAACTATCGAAAAATTATTAAAACATTTTTATTAAAGTGCTGTTTGAGTGGACTTGATATAATTTTTTCAATGCAACTCTATTCTATTAATTGAGCATATCAAAAGATCGAAACGCTATTACTGTGACACGGTAAAATTATAATTTATCATCAGAATGGATGCAATTCCGATAACAACGTCGTATTTACCGACCATAGCTTATTCTCTGTTGGCCATCGTTATCGCAATGCTAATTACATTACATTATTATATCGAGACTTCCAGAGCAGTTCGTCTTTCAAGAAAGCTACCACGTATGTATAAGATTTAAACACTTTAACCGCTAATGCATGTATTTTCAAATACTTTAAAACAATATAAAATTGAATTTATTAAAGCGATATATTATTATCTTATATTAATTAGTAATAATAAACGTTTTATCTTCTTTTTTAGATCCACCGCGCGTACCAATACTAGGTCACGCATTATTATTCGCAGGAATATCTCCAGAAACTGTGCTACCTTTAGCTCTTAAATATTATGAAACATATGGATCAGTAGGAAGCATACATTTCGGGACAAGAGTAATAATCTATCTAGCAGATCCAAAAGATGTCGAAATAATTTTGGGCAGTTCCGTGCATCTTGACAAATCTATAGAATATAGGTATAAAGTTAAATAATTAACAATCTATATCATTTTATTTCTATATTTCGTTTGTATAAACTTATGTAGGTACTTACTTATAGAAATGTAATTTGCCCATTCTTGATGCCTTAAATCAATATTCAATTTTACTGTATCCAATAAGATCATTTTATATCTTATAAAATTTTCTCTCTTTATTCCTTTTTTTAAGATATTTTCAACCATGGCTTGGAGATGGTTTGCTCATCACAAAAGGTGATAAGTGGCGCAGACATAGGAAAGTAATAGCGCCCACATTTCACATGAGTATTTTAAAGACATTTGTACCTCTATTTTATGAAAATAGCATGAATCTCGTAAGACGACTTCGTGATGAAATTGGAAAAGAGTTCGACTGTCACGATTATCTATCAGCTGTAACGGTTGACATTTTAACGGAAACTGCGATGGGAGTCAGAAGAGAAAACAGGCAAAACACTGGATACGATTATGCCATGGCAGTGATGAAGTAAGTAATGTTTTTTTAATAATAAATAAAACTGTATTATTAATTTATAACAAAAAATGTCAATGTAATAATAATTTGAATGTTGTAGAATGAGCGATATCTTACATCGAAGACATTATGATTTTTCGTTGCGTTCTGACATAATTTTTAAATTTACAAAGTTTGCAAAGATGCAAGAGAACTTACTCAATATTATTCACACACTAACAGATGGTGTCATTAAAGAGAAATCTAAAGAGTGTGAAAAAAAACATATAAAAGATCAACAACAAAAGGAAGTAGAAAATAGCAAATCTGTGGAAAATTTGAACGCGACTAAATATGAAAATGATCAAATAAATAATGATATTAAATACACAAAACTGCACTATGTAAGAGATGATCTTGATAACATCGATGAAATTGACGTAGGTGAAAAGAAACGACTCGCTTTTCTAGACATGATGTTCGATTTGAAAAAAAATGGGGGACAAATGACTGACGAGGAGATTCGAGAGGAAGTTAACACTATTATGTTTGAGGTATAAATTTGCATTTTAATCTAAACTATTATAAACAATACACGTGCGCGTTTCGTGTGCTCCTTTGATATTATTTCTGTTTTTTATTTTACAACTATCATAAATTGTTAATCTTCGCAATGGCAGTTGGTTGATGCTATGACCATAATTTTAATTCGCCGAATTTCTATTATATATATATAATTTTAATTTGCTGAATTTGTATTATGTACATAATTTTAATTTGCTGAATTTCTATTATGTACATAATTTTAATTCCCCAATTTTTATTATGTACATAATTTTAATTCCCGAATTTCCATTATGTATATAATTTTAATTTATTGAATTTCTATTGTACATAATTTTAATTTGCCGAATTTCTATTGTATTGTTTGAGAACTATTTTGTATAGATGTATCTCTTTATTATAACTTCGCTTCGTCGCACGTAATTATATTCAATTAAACTAAACAAAATGAAAAAAAAATATATGAAGAGATACATCTATATAAAATAGTTCTTGAACAATACAATAAAAATTTGGCAAATTAAAATTATGTACATAATAGAAATTCAATTAATTAAAATTATATACATAATGGAAATTCGGGAATTAAAATTATATACATAATAGAAATTCGGCGAATTAAAATTATTTAAGGTTTTAAAACCTTAAATAATTTTTAGGATTTAAAACCTTAAATAATTTTTAGGTTTTAAAACCTTAAAAATTGCAACGCATGTATAAAATTATTATTGCAATGCATGCAAGAAAATATATTTATTAATTACGTGATTCATAAAAATTCAATATATAAATTGTTAACAGAAAACAAAAAAATATAATTTTCTACAAGAATCTTTCGATTAAAATATCTGCGCTTCCATTAAATTTGTGCATTTGTCTGCTACGCTGCACGGCTCACACAAAACTGATCACGTGATCAGATTAGTACATTCCACATATCTGTCACGTTGCGCGTCTCGCGCGGAACTGATTCTCGTGTGAGGTATCGCGAGCGCGGGACCGATGATCACATGACCAGTAGTCACGTGACCATCGGTCACATGATCAGTAGTCACGTGACCATCGGTCCCGCGCTCGCGATACCTCGCACGAGAATTAGTTCCGCGCGAGCCGCGCAGCGTAATGGATATATGGGGTGTAAAGTCTTGAACGAGTCTAATGAAAGCTTACAATTAGATATTTAATCACAAAAGATTCTTGTAGAAAATTTTAGTTCTTTGTTTGTATCTTCTGTTAAAGATTAAATATTAAATTTTTATATGCGTTGCATAATTAATTAATACATTTTTATCCATCGATTACAATAATTTTTGCGATAATCGACTTTGCAGGTCTTTTTTAGAAAGAAAATAGTAAATTCTGAAATATTCAATAGTAGATTTAATAATTAAGCTTCTAGTAAATGTATTGTATTATTTTTTTGCAATTAAAAATTTCTTTTCCTTTTATTCTCTTTCTTTACTAAGAAAAAGTATTAAAAACAATGTTATTGTACATGAGTTATGTTAATGCAATGCATTATTTAAAAATTAATTGTATTTTAGGGTCATGATACCACAGCAGCTGGCTCAAGTTTTGCACTATGCGCCTTAGGATGTCATCAAGATATTCAGGTAAATTTATTTGCAATTTAGTATTTTTGGAAAAAAATCTTTAAAATATTTTATCTTTTCATACTCAATTTTTTCTTATTTTTTCACTTATATAGTCATTTATATAAATCTTATATAGTCATTGCAGTTGTGTGACATTCACTTTCTGTTAGAATTATGGATAATATTTGATTTCAATATTAATTGCAAGTCCATCTTCTTTTCTATCCTCTCAACTTGATAATTTTTACTATGCAGGCTCGCGTGCATGAAGAATTGGATGCAATTTTCGGCGACAGCGACAGGCAATGCACTTTTCAAGATACTCTGGAAATGAAATATCTCGAAAGAGTTATTTTAGAAACTCTAAGACTTTTCCCACCTGTGCCCGCGATTGCTAGACAACTTAATGAAGATGTAAAAATAAGTATGTCTCAATAAATACAATAATAATATAGAAAGTTATAAAAGCAGTCACCCGAAAGACTCGAATTCGAATTCGGATTTAACGACTTTGACCGATATTTTTCTCGATATTTTATTATATCTTTTTAGGGGCGTCTGAAGAGAATATACATAGCAATTAAAAATCTCGAATTTCTTTATCCTTTATTATAAAAACTTGTTTGTGTAGAATTTGAAAGACCAACATAGTTAATTTCATTTAAATGACAGTTACAGGTAATTATATTCTTCCAAAAACTGCCACGGTATTGATACCACAATTCGCAGTGCATCGTTCGGAAAAATATTATCCAAATCCAACAGTTTTTAATCCGGACAATTTCCTACTGGAAAGAATGCAACAGAGACATTACTACGCCTTTATTCCTTTTAGTGCTGGACCAAGGTATTTAACAGATAGAAGAAAATTTTGCGGAAAGTTATATATTCGTTTTTTTAAGTTTATCATATACAATACTTTATAATACGGATATTTTATAAAAATATGTTATTATAAAAATGTTTCACACAGGTCCTGTGTCGGACGAAAATACGCTATGCTAAAATTGAAAGTCCTTTTATCGACGATACTGAGGAATTACCGTGTCACTTCCAATATAGCAGACAAAGATTTTATATTGCAAGCCGACATTATTTTGAAAAGACACGACGGATTCAAGATCAAACTCGAGCCGCGCAAGTCGGTATTTTATACATAAAAACAGCGAGAATTAAAAATTTTTATACTCGTGCGAAAGTGAACCAAATAAATTTAAACTTGTTAATCTATATACCTTGCTATAAGAATTCCATTTTGTTATATGCATTATATGTTTCCGGTGTAGGTATTTGTATTTCTTCAAAGAATATAGCAATTTATAATTATTAACTACCTATAATATTTTATCCAGAACAATATTTACGTGATGTATTATTTATATATTTATAAAAAATCAATACATTATATTTAAAATATCTTAAAAACAAATGTATATATTTTTTGCCTCGTGTATATAGCATATACAATTATGGATACAATTTTTTTATAGAAAAAAGAAACAGAAACTTATATTTCCTTTTTAATTGCTTGTTGCTAATTACGAAAATAATCACTAAGATTGACCTATTTAATGTAACTTTTGACAAATAAAGCATTATGTAAAAACATTTTATATACTGTTTTATTTTATGTATAATGTTGATATTTCTTACAAAACATATTCCAGATAGGACATGTTTGTTTTCTAAATGTACTAAATGTTTTACAATCGCTAAACTAATAAAAAAAACGTCTTGATAGAAATATTTTTAAAACTAATTTAAAAAACATATTTGTTATATTACTTAAAATTTATTTTTAAATTTAAAATAATACACAATAAAAAAAATTGCTCAAATATAAATTTATATATATATATATATATATATTTATATAACATATAAAATTTAAAAAAAGGATTATAATCGACCAAAACTGGCAATGTTTTATTTATTTAAAAATTAACACGACGTTTCAACCATGGGTTTTGGCCCTTTTCAAGTTGTTGGTCGATTACAATTCTATTTTGAATTTTTAATTACTAGCGGCTCTCATCTAATTTTCGAAATATATAAAATATAACTATTCATAATATGGTCTTTTTTCTTCGAATTATATTATTTTCTTAAATCATACAAAATTATTTTTAAATTATTTTTATTATTCTTTTCTGCGATTATATTGCCAGAAATTATAAGCGAAAAAAATCGTAATTTACGTGATATATTTCAGACAGAACAAATTCTTTCGCGAATATACATATGTATACATATATATATATATATATATATATAAACATAATTAAATTTTGCATTCTTAATGTATGCGAGATATGTAAATAACATACATTATGGGAAAGCAATGTTATAAAATATAATATTAATATAAAGAAATATATATATATATATATATATATATGTATATATATATTTTTATTATATATGTATATATTATAGGTGTGTATAGTATATATTGTGACGTGACATTTTTTACTGTCCGTCACAAAGGCCGAAGGCCCGGCCGGGAAGGCGGGAAATTCGGGAACCTTTGCTCTCTCGTCAATCTTTGAGAGAGAGAGAGAGAGCACGCGAAAAATCATTTTTGCGTTTACTACCGCGTCGGAGGATGCGCTTCGCGCATCCGTTTCGCGAATTACTTTATTTATGATTTTTGTTTGAGCGATTTTTGCGTTTTCGGCGAGCAATTTTGCATAGGGTACGTGTCTCAACCGGAGAAACAGAAAGAGAGAAAGCCTGAGAGGACGAAGAGGACGATTTAGGACCGAGCAGAGGCCACCAAGTCCGGATCACGCCCGGTAAATATTATTTTCACATAGATGTTCTGGATTGCTCCTCCCGTTAAGAACCTGGGTACCGCCGTAAAATGTTCCTTCTTTCACAGAGATTCCGACCAGAGATGGGGATGGCCACTCTCTCGCGAGAGGCGAGAGAGCCCTGGAAACAAAAGGCGCGGGAGATACTCTGCCTCGAGCCTCCGCAGATCCAGATATACAAAATTTCACCATCGATCAAACAATCGATCTGGCGGATTTTTGGGAGGAACCGCAAAGAGGTGCGCTCGTAGGAGTCTTCCCGACGACCAATATAGAGGAACAGCGGAACTCAATGCAGAGGAAAAGAGGAACAGCGAGAGAAAATTTGCATCAAGCAAATTCGCAGGGCCCCGCGGGGCACCCGGCGGTCCTGCCAAGATAAGGAGCGCCACGGGTGGAAAATGTCCCAATTAATTATTGGCGTGATCCCGGCAGGCCTCTTGCTCGTCACTGTCTGGCGGAGCGTGGTCCAGAGCAGAGGTTCCTGCGCGCGGATGCCGAAGCATCAGAGGATCCAACGATACCGGTGAGACGAACGGCCCTATATACTTTGTAAAGCCGCTAAATTCTTTTTTTTTGTGAGTACCGTATTCGGGAGAGAAGCGTGTCACGGCCGCGGCCGGTTATTAGATTCACCGGTGTAATTTCGTGATATTTCGGGAGGTTCGATTTAGAGTTTCGTTCCGCGTAGAATTTATCCCGGCGCCCGGCCGACCGCGTGCTCTCTCCCGCGCGTATATTAAGAGAGGCTCTCTCTCCCGCGGATACGCCGACAGTCGCCGCGATTTTGGTCACATTAATGTAACATCAAAGTATCGTCTCGTAATTACTGTGTTGTTTTCGTCTATTAGGATTTCTATATCGGAGAAGGGAAAATTGTCTAGAGTCACGCATAAGAAGTTGCGCAATCTTTCTCGCGCATATCATCATTCGCGCATTTTTCGGATTCGTTGTAATATTGTGCAAGGGACGACCGGCGTGATCGATCTCAAAGGAAGGCGCGCGGGACCTACTCGAGTTTCCGGAACTTTTGTACTGCCTAGAACAGTGCTCGGAATTAGTTGCTCTTTTCGAGCCGATTTCGCGAGCGACGGGGTAGATCCCCCCACTACCGTCGAGGCTCGACGGCGGAGTCGTCGTTACTCCGGGCAACGCTATATCTTAGGAGCGTCGCTAAACATGTTAAGTTGTACCTTCCGCCAAATCGTCATCAGGAGACGCGGTAGCGTCTCGCTAAGTTATATCTTTCATTCGTCAAATTAAAATACAATCTACAAAAAAACAAAAAAAAATATCGAAAGATATCGAAAAGATAGCGAAAATATCGAAACAATAGCGAAAATTATCCGTAGGACGCTACTGTGTATCCTTTACCGGACGTAACACGATTTTCGTAACCTTGAAAACAAAAATTTGAAATATTTCATGAACGGAAACATATTTTTCAAAAGATGACCATATCAATCGAAAGCGCGATTTTTTCCGAGTAAAATGAGACCTTAACGAACTTGATAGCTCTATTGGTTGCGGAGATATGAATTTTTCAAGTTATTTTTTGGTCGAAAAGGTGTCACTTTTTTTTAAGACTACGGCGTCGTACTTGTCCGCGGTCACCCATCCCGACAAAGTGATTCTGTCCGAAGCTGCTTTACCTTATCCGCGGTCACCCATCTTAGTATAGTGACATTTTCCTCAGCTGCTTAACCTTTTAAGCAACCAAACGAAAAATAAATTCTCGCTCTCTCTCACTCTCTCTCTCTCTCTCTCTCCCCCTCTCTCTCCCCTCTCTCTCCCCCCTCTTTCTCCCTTTCTCTCTTGCTTTCCCACGTCTTTTTTCGCTCTCTCTCGCCCTCTCGCTTTCTCTCGCTGTCTCTCGCTCTCTCTTGCTCTCTACCGCTCTCTCGCGTTCTCTCGCTCTCTCTCGTCGTCTCTCGCTCTCTCTCGGTTTTTTCGCTCTTTCCCGCTTTCTCTCGCTGTTTCTCGCCTTCTCTCGTTCTCTCTCGCTCTCTCGCTTTCTTCCGGTCTCTCTCGCTCTCTCTCCCGCTCTCTCTCGCTCCCTCTCGTCTTCTCTCACTCTCTCGGTTTTTTTCGCTTTCTCTCGCTGTTTCTCGCTCTCTCTCGATCTCTCCTGTGAGCAGTGAATTTATTCTTCGGGACATTGAAGTCTCGTAAGACAAGTAGACATTATACGTGGACACAATAGTGCTGACGTGTGAAAGTGGATCACAGGTGAGTGATCGATTAGGCTGATATTAGCGGTTTCGGCCGGTAATTATCGGCATGGACGATGAATATGCAGAGTATCGATGCTCGGCATGTAGGAAGGCAATAAAGAATAAAGTCGTCAAATGCAAAACTTGTATAAATAAGCTTTTTTACCATCCAGGATGTGTAATTAAGCATAAAATTCTGGACAGTAGACAAGAATTAGTGCCGTGTAAAGGCCCATTTGAGGAGTTTTTGATTGATAGTAAAGAAACAAACATGAAGAAAGCGACGCCAACGGCAGGAAGAGATAGGACATCGTCTACAGGATCCGTGGGATCTGCAGGATCGTTCACAAGTAAAGGATCAGGCATTGATGTAAAAGTAGACTGGATCATAAAAACTGTAAAGGAAATAAAAAATGAAACAGCCTGTAAAAATGAAATTAAACTAATGATTAAAGAAGTAGTTCAAGAAGAATTAGTAAATGTTAAGCAAGAACTGGAAAACTTGAAGAAAATGATACAGGGAGTAACATGTGTATCAAAGGAAGAATCGCAGATAAGCTACAGTGAAGCGGTTAAAGGGAAGAAGAAAGAAAACGTTATAATTGTTAAGCCGAAAATGCAACAAGAGAGTGAAGCCACTAAAAAATTGATAAAAGAAAAGGTGGATATTAAGAGTATGGCTATGGGAATAACGAAATTAAGGAAAGGTAGCAAGGGAACAGTGATCGTGGGTTGTGAAACCGGCGAGGAGGTGAAAAAATTGAAGGAGACAGTTCAAGCTAAGCTGGGAGAAAATTATAAAGTGATAGAGTCGCCTCAATCAAAACCAAAGATAAAAATTATTAATATAGGTGTAGAAGAGATGAAATTAGATGATAATGAACTTATAAATACGATAAAGATGCAGAATAAAATAGATACAGCAAATATGCGAATTGTGAAGAGAATGATCAAAGAAAGGAGAAATAATCAATCTGAAAGAAAAGGAAATGAAGAAGGGTCAATAATAATAGAAGCAGATGAAGAGACACATGAGCTGATATTGAAGAAAGGAAAGCTAAGTGTAGGATGGAAGAAGTGTCCTGTATTTAATCACATCAATGTTAAAAGATGTTTCAAATGCTGGGGATATTATCATATTGCAAAAAATTGTACGCGAGAGGAAGCATGCTATAAATGTGCAGGAAGTCATAACTCGCGTGATTGTACAGCGACAAAGAAGAAATGTGTGAATTGTATGTTCAAAAATCGAACATACAATCTGAATATAAGCGATGACCATGACGCCCTTAGTCCGGAATGTC